ACATCCATTAATCTAAATCCTAATAAAGATTTATTTAATTTACATTCGTTATCAAAATAATGACTAGTCACACAAATATAATCTTGTTTAGCTCTACCACTCCAAATATCGGCAGTTAGAGTCACACTAACATGACAAGTTTGTATTTTATTTTTTAATTTTAATTTTATTTTCCTAAATAATTTTATTAAATCATTTCTAGTTGCAGTTTTAGAATAACTTTTAAATCCTGGAAAAAATGAATTTTTAATAAATCTTTCAAAATATTTATCTTCAACCATATTAATAGGTTGATCAGTTGCAGCAATATATAAAGTTAATTATTCCTTATATGCATAAGAATTATAACGCCAAGTAGTACCCATATTAGTTATTTGAGTTTAATTGGTTTCTTTATTTCTATGTTGAGTAATATGTTTATTAGCATGCCTTTTTAAAGTACTAGTACCATTATCTAAATCAGCTTTATAAACATTTCCACAATACTTGCATCTTGCTTTCTTCACTTGAACTCCATTTTCTGCCTCGTAAAATTTATCGAAATACGCCCAAACATCTGATGTGTGTCTGTCGTCGCTTTCAACAGCAGTTGATGAACCCGCTTCAGCTTGAGATGAAGTTGGACGAGGATGACGATTATGAGGACGACTTTTAAAACCACCGGGAGCTATAGGTGTAGCAGCATAGGGAGGAATCAGGGGCATATTTTGAGGTGTATCAGATTCTGAGACTGGGAAAACAGGATTATTTAAATCTCCTCCTACATTCATGTTAGTAAATTCAGCGGGACTAGGACTATGATAGTAGTTTCCTTCATCATTGAAATTGATGGGAGAGAAATATCTATCCATTGTAGTTGAAAAAAAAATTGATGTGGAAGAAATAAAAAATTAAAGAAGGAGAGTTGGAATATGGAAAATTGGAAATATGAATTGAAAATTGCAAAAACTAATAAAGATTAAAATAAGTGCAAATTGATAACAAAGAGATTAAGAGAATAATTGAGAGATTTCAATAGAGATTAGAGATAAGAGAAAATGAGAGAATGAGAGAATTTGAGTTGTGAGAAAATATGAGAGTTTAGGGCCAATTTATAGAAAAAAAAATGGGAAAAGAAAATGACGAAAAAGACCCCTCCAACTGCTATAAAATGACTATATTTCAAGAGTAAAAAGGGAATTCGAAAAAACAAATTAATTTTGTTTTTTTATTTTTATTTTTTTTCGGCCAGCCCGACGGGTTGGCGGTCCTTTCTTAAAAAAGGACAAAATAGCAACCCGCGGGTCGCTGGGTTGCCATATATCAACCCGGCCCGCCTTATTGGTGGTTCGGGTTGAGCCCTCTTTAATGCGGGCTGGGTTAGGGTTGAATTTGTTCCATCTCTAGTTGTAATTAATTAATTAATTATTTAATTATAATGTAATGTTATAATTAATTAAATTTCTAATTATTTAATTAAATATTTTACTAATGTTTATAATGTAATATTATAATTAATTAAGTAATCATATTATAAATTTATAATGTAATGTTACTATTAATTAGATTTTTTAACCATTTAATTAAGTAATGTAGTAATGACTAATGTAGTAAATTAATAATGTTTATAATGTAATGTTATAAATTTATAATTAATTAAGTAATCATTTAACTATGTAATGTTATACATAATTAAGTGATCATACTATAATGTAATGTTATAATTAATTAAGTAATTATTTACCAATAATGTAATGTTATAATCAATTAAATTTCTAATCATTTAATTAATTACTAATGTTTAATGTTTATAATATAATGTCATAATTAATTAAGTAATCATTTAATTATGTAATGTTATAATTAATTAACTGATCATACTACAATGTAAATTGTAATGTTATAATTAATTAAGTAATATACTATTTAACTATAATGTAATATTATAATTAATTAAATTTTTAATCATTTAATTAATATACTAATGTTTATAATAGAATGATATAATTGATTAAGTAATCATACTATAAATCTAAAATGTAATGTTATAATCAATTAAATTTTTAATCATTTAATTAAGTAATGTAATAATGTAGTAAATTGCTAATGTTTATAATGTAATGTTATAAATTTATAACTAATTAAGTAATCATTTAACTATGTAATACTATAATTAATTAAGTGATGATAATATAATGTAATGTAATAATATTATAATTAATTACGTAATAATTTAATTAAGTAATCATTTGTTTATAATATAATGTTACAATTAATTAAGTAACATTACTACAAATTTATAATGTAATAGTAATGTTAATATGTTATAATTAATTAAATTTCTAATAATTTAATTAAGTATTGTGCTAATGTTTATGTAGTAAATTACTAATGTTTATAATATAATGTCATAATCAATTAAGTAATCATTTAATTATGTAATGTTATAATTAATTATGTGATATAATGTAATGTTATAGTGAATTAAGTAATCATATTATAAATCCTTAATGTAATATTATAATTAATTACATTTTTAATCATTTAATTAAGTATTGTACTAATATTTATAATGAATTGTTATAATTGATTAAGTAATTATACTATAAATCTATAATGTAATGCTATAATTAATTAAATTTCTAATTATTTAATTAAGTAATATACTAAATGTTATAAGTCAATTAATTAAGTAGTAATCAATTAATGTAATGCTATAATTAATTATACTATAAATCAATTAAGTAATGTTATAAAATTATAATTAATTAAGTAATCATTTAACTATAATGTAATGTTATAATTGATTAAATATGATATTTAACTAGTAAATACATTTATTAATGTTTATCAATTTATCATATATAATTAATTAATTGTTAATTTACTATAGATATACTTAGACCTTGATAATTGAAGTAAATAACTAAATATATTATTATTCAATCAAATATACTATTTTATTCAAAAATAATTCTTTTAATAACATTAAAATATTTTTTATTAGACCCTAATTCCAATTATATACTTAATTAATCAAAACTTTAATATTAATATATTAAAGTTTTTAATATAGTGTAGTTTATATGTAATAAGTATAATTGTATATTTATTTAATTAGGTTGTTCTAAAAATTTAACTTTTTCTATTTTAAATTTTTTATATGTAAAATAATAGAAACCCCCCATTATTCACAAATATTTCATTGCAACCCAGGTTCCAAAATAGGTTCCAAAACAGGTTCAAAAATCGGTTCCAAACAGCTTCTAAACCGGGTACCCGCTACAGGTTCCAAGCAGGTTCCAAACTGGGTACCCGTTTCAGGTTCTTTTTCTAGGTTTCGGTTCCGGTTCCTCTACACATAAGAACCGGAACCGAACAGTGTCGGTTCCAATAAAATGAATCCGAAACCCTGCACAGTGCTGATTCTGGGTAGGTTTCGGTTCTAGTTTTAGTCCTACCCGTAGGTTCCGGTTCTACCTGCTACCTGTGCTCACCCCTAGAGAAAACATAGGAAGAAAAGAGGAGAGATGGGAGTTAGAAATTGGCTTTTTATATGTAACCGTACAAATGTCTTTGAATTGAGACAGCTATTTCTTGTGACACTTCTTGGAATATACTAGTTTTCAATTCAAACCCAAAAGGGGGTTATCTAATATAATTTTTTTTTAAATATATATAATATTAAAAATAAATAAAAATAATTTTGAACACTGACCTTGGTATCAAAAAAGTGATCTACCATAATTCAGTCTTTACGTAACAAAGCATCCATGGGCTTTTGTTGAATTAAGAATGAATATGAAGAGTGATAATTGCATTTTTTTTTTTTTAATTAGTTCATATTGTTATACATGTATAGAAAGAATTCAATTCAATCACATTTATCAAACTTCAAAGTTATCAATGCTTAAGCTATTCAGTCAGAATAAAAAAAAAAATAAAAAAAAAAAGGACTCAATACCCATCCTACTGCACTATCTTTTCCGTTTCAGCTCATATATGTCTCTATTATGTGTTGACCTAGAAATCTACAACAATCAGAGTTACGTGATTGAAAATGCTAGAACCATGTAAGATGTTTGCGTAATCTTGATGGATCAGAGATGGACTAATATGACGATGAATGTGCAATGATGAACATAACTAAGAACAAAATATACTTTTTAAAGTTGTTCGACTGTTTATCATGTAATATCTACGTTCATTGTTATGTTGTTGATTATATAATTTCAGCGATTTGATTTACAAAAAGTTATATGATAAGTTATCTAATTCGCTCTCCCCAAAACAAATTATAATGGGATTTATATAATGTTAGTTACAAGGTTGAGTTTGAGATAAACTCAAATTCAATAAAATAGGAAGGAAAGTTGTGCGATCATCGGCCTTGGTTATGGATATGGAGCTTGTATCACAACATATTTGGATGTTAATTGGGGATTTATCTGCTTCGGATTTCCCGTATAACACTACGAGTAATATTATATGTATAAACTTTTTTATACAAACAGATGTGATACAATGTTAACCGATGAATTTGTATAAAAAAATCAACTCCTTAAATACTTAATAAATATAATGAATGATGCGGCAACAAGATAGATGTGCCACAACCTCAAGGGGTCGCCTTGATGGTTAAGGAAGTATATTCCTTTTCTTGAGTTTATGGGTTCAAACATTGTGGTTATCTATCATAATCTTTTTAGTTTGTAGTGTTTTCAATAAATCTTGATGATTAATTGAGATGCTCATAATCTTACTTAGTTTATATAGAAGAATTTATAAAACTTAGTTTGTACCTATAGCATCATTCTATATACCTTAACTGAAATTGATAATTTAATTTGGTTTTGGTTCAAGTTTGGCGTTGGGATATTTTTACAAATCCCAAATTAGCAATTCTTTTTTATCTCATTTAATAAAAATAATCTAACTCTTGGAAATGAGGCCATCCATCATGAATGACTATTGACTGATTACAAATAAAATGAGAGAAAAATGAAATAGACTTTGAAACAAGTAAATTCCCTTTCCTTTTTGAAGGACAGTGCAGGAAAACAAAACAACAAAAAACTAAAAGACATAAAGAGAAAGTAGTGCATTTGCGGGGATTCATTAGCTCAACAAACACAACCTTTTGAAACGGCGCTGCTTTCTTGTGGGCATTAAAGACAGAGATCTCATTCAAAGAATGAAGCCCTTTGCTTAATTTATCTGGGTAATTTTTTTTTTTTAATCTATTTTACTTCTTATTATTATATTGCCTTTTTGCTCTCTTTAATTTATTTCTGCATTGATATCGAATTCGTTTGTTTCTGATTTTGTTCAAGTTCAGGCATTGATTAAATAGCGTTTTGGATGAATAATTTGACCGGAATTAAGATAGAAAGATATGAATAAGTTCACATTAATAGGAAGAAATAGATTTGATGAGTGTTTATTGGGATTAATAAAGATTTCCCAGATTTTTGTTAGCAAAATTAACCCTTCGTTTTTGTTCTTACTTTTCAAGCTGAAGATGGAGAGTTAGGGTTCTACTTTCATCTTGAAAAAGATGGAGGAAAGAATTTGGGATTTGACTATGGTACTGGCTTGGTAACGTTACTAGACTTGGGCATGTATAACTGAAATGTGAGATATATAGGGCGGAAAGTTACAATTGAAATATTGAATGTGAACTTGAGACAAAATATGAGTTGCAGCAAAGAACGCGAAATATAACACAGGAAGTTGTGTGTTACTTGTCTCATTACCCAGTAACGTTATCAATCACATTCTGTTTTACAAGAATCCTGACTTCTTGATTGAAACCAAAGCCTTGAGACCACTTAAGTTTAATAGGGTTAGTCAGGTTTTTAGTTCATGATTCGAAAGACTTTGATCTGGACAAAGAAATTAAAATAATTGTGGAAGTTCCAATAAATTTTGTGATTTTTTTTTCACCACTTAAATCTAGGAATCTTATAATGCCAAACTCTGAAAAAAAAGGAAGTGAGATACAGACATATGATTGCTGATTTCTTAGTTTATGCTAAAAAACTGTTTAGGCAAAGTAGAGAGATACAGAGGTATGGGAGAGAATGTGTAGCAATAGTGTCCTATTGGTGGTGGTGTGGTATGGGTGGTGTGGTATGGTGGCATGGAGGTGGTTGTGGTGTGATGAGGTTGATTGGCAAAAGCTAAGATTCACTATGAAAGAGAGAGCACAAGGGTGAAAGGGGCCGGGGTTGAACAATTGGTACTTCGTTTCTCAGCAAGATGTTGGAGGTTCATACACTTTCGCCCAACTATATGCAATAATATATTAAATTAGTTTCTTAACTATTATAGTTTGTTGGTTTGTCAGTAATCCATTGTTCAAACTTGAAGTGATATTAAGGGACTTTTGGGGTATCAACTATAGAAAATATAAGAAGAAATATAATATGGGTGTCCAATGCTAATTTGTTTGTTATGAGAGAAAATATTTGAAATAAATTGTGTTTATGTATGGAGGCTAGAATTAGAGCTAGAATGGTGCATAAATACCACTATTCTGACTAATTGATTAGGAAATGTGACTATCCATTGACAGGATTATTATAATAGGATTTGATTGCTGTTGTTTGTTGTTTAAATTTTGATATCAGGATAAAATTGAAACAGAACCTATACTTCAACTAATTGAATGGAATTAAATTATGAAGATTGGTTTGGTTTGGTTTAGTTTAACAGTGTATTGGTTCTTAGTGAATATGAAGGCATAGTTGAAGGTTTTCTATATACTCTGAGGATGCGATAAGTTAGTTCAAGTCATATTTTTTTTTCATCTAAGATTTCCCTTTCTATTACAGAATTGATTGTGTTATATGAACTGCTGTCAGCATGTAATGCTTTTTGTTTCGTGATGCTCTCCTGTGAAATTAAAATTCATTTCTTCATCCAAGATCTCCATTAGATTTTACAAATTGGTTGTTATATGCACCATTGTTGCCTTGTAATGCAATTTTGTAAATGATACCCTTTTTTCTAACTATATCTGAGAATTTTATCTTTAAGGCATGCAACACCTAAAAATTGGGAGGCTCATAATTGATTATAAAAGTTGACAGCTATGGAAGATTAGAAAGTACTCTAAATAAAGTGATTCTTTCACATTATGTATTTTAAATAAATTAGATAAATAATAAAAATTTATCTATTTAATTATTTGTAATAAACTTTATTGCCATTATGCCAAAAACCATTCTTTAAAAATATATTATGATGACAAAACTTCAAATACATAATTACAGTAGACATTACAATGAATTAGTATGAATGTGGGTTGGGGTACGTAAACCTGAAACCCACAGCCCATAAATTGCCATCAGTAAACCAATATTACTGGTAACCTTAAAATTCAGCCTTTTGTTTTGCCCATGTCACAGAATGATGAAACTTTAGATTGTAATTCCATGTTTCTGGTGCTTGCCAATCTTTTGAAATACCAAGAAGAGTAAGTAGGGTTCTTGGTTATGTGATTCTCTTCATTTTTCTTCCAGATGTAATTACTTGCTTGTAATTCATATTTACATCAGTTTTTCTCCTTATTTCTTGACATGGATTTTGATCTAGTTCTAAGGATGCCTGATATCTAGGTTTCATGGGTTTTAATTTTGTTGGCTGTATAAACATGATAAGGAGACAGGCTATCATAGAATATCATTGTTATAATCATAGAAAGTAAAATAAAATAAAATACTAGGTACTCTTGGTGTAGGCAGAAGGGAGCTTGACTGCAAGACGCGCCATTATGTTGTTGAAAAAAGTTGTTCATATTAGTTTGGTTTTGTCATGCTACTTGTGAAAGATTTCCTAGTCAGCTTTGGTAATATGATTAGCTGATTGGAGTACTTTTGTAATGGTTGCATATCTTTGTGGGATGCATGACCACATTTGGCTTGAGTTTTTTCTAGATTCCTGAACTAGTTTATGGGAGCAGAACTATATAGAAAAGTGGGAGAGTTATTGGATCTCTAGATTTTCCCAATCATACTGACCCCTTGGCTTCTTTTGTTTTGTACAATGATCAGGATTAAAGTCCGTGTATGCGTGGCATATCCTTTGTGTTGAATTTGAAATATATATTTGAATGTGAAGGGAATTTCAGTTGCATCATTTGGGAGATCATAAGCTTCATCCTCAGAGACATAGAGTTGTTTCAGGTGAAAATGCTGTTACAGAGTTCTTTTCCTTGTTCAATTGAAGCTGCCTTTTTCATGTATCTGACCATGGAAAACAACATTCTGTATGTGATTGGTTGCCTACGACTGAAACATGGCAGATGTGTCCCAAATGCGATGAACATTGTTGCAGTTGCTGCAGAAAAGCTCTTTCAGTCACAGAGGAAAAACAAAATGCTGATATGTCATGCCCCTTAAGTTTTACTAGAAATTCCCAGCACTCAACTGTCTGCACAATGTCTGAAAGTACTGCACCAAACTTTGTATACCGGCGAAGGAAGCTACGTGGGAATTCTGTTGCCATTTTTTCTACACGTGACTCCTTAAACAAAAAGAGAACTGATGATTGTCTTTCAGTTCTGAGCTCTAATGCTCTTTCAGTGGCAACGCAAGAACAACATATAGATCCTCAGGCTGTGGTTGAAACTGAAGCCATTAAATCTCTTGTCATGCCTCCCAATAGCGAGCCATATCTTTTAAGATCTGGTTCTGTTCAGGGAGAGCATGTTTCTGATGGAGCACCCAAAAGTAGCAAGCAGAAAATGGTGGAGGTTCACAGTATAAATGACAGTTGCTCGTCATCAAAGTCAAATATGGATCTTGTTTCTGCTTCCATGAAGACTGAAGTTGATGACACTGGTGAGTGTTCCTCCTCTAGTGTAGCAGTTTTAGAGGTCATGGGCAAAGATTTATCAGCAAAGGATCTTTGCATCTCCATACTGAAAAGCAAGGGACTGCTTGAAAGATTTCGGCCTAGCCAGACATGTACATCTGCAAAAGGCATGGAGGAGAAGAGTGGTAGTGGTAGCTGTTCCCGGTCATGCAAAGTTTGTGGTCTTTCAGAAAGTACTCTAAAATTGCTAATATGTGATAACTGTGAAGAGGCATATCATGTATCTTGCTGTAATCCTCGTATGAAGGACATTCCAATTGATGAATGGTTCTGCAATTCATGCTTGAAAAAGAAAGATAAAATTCTAAAGGAGATGAACATCAGAAAATTACCGAATATTATCAGCGAGTTGGGAAGATGCCGAAAAGCATCATTCAAAAGTGACTTCAATCTTATAGAATCACTGTTGAGGGATTCTGAGCCGTATTCCTCAAGTGTTCGAGTCGGGAAAGGTTTTCAAGCAGAAGTCCCAGATTGGTCGGGCCCAATTAATGAGTATGCATCTTCTTTAATCGTTATGTTCTTGAATTTTGCAAGTAGATACATCATGTGATATACAATTTCATCATCATGCATAATGTCACACATGAAACTTTTTGTGGGCAGCTACTCATAGAGTGAAGAAATGCAGTTGGTTTTTAATGATTTGTCCCTTTCCCTTATAAAACTTGTTTTGGAAAGTAAAATCAATTTGTAAGACAAGGCAACAGTATTCCTTTTTTTTTTTTTTCCTCAAAAAATATTTAATAAGTATATCCTTCTCCAGGAGAGTTATATTTTATTGGGAGGTAAGTTAAATTGTTTCAATGTAGAAAATGCTGTGGTAAGAGTTTGTGCAAAGGTTTACTTAACATGATTCAACAGTGCAGGGTTGGAGGCCAATTGGACTTTGCTTGAAAAATCTTTGACCCATGTGTTAGAGAGTGGCGGAAGAAATAGGTCATAGCATCTGTGCTAATTCTGATGAGACTTTCAAAATGCCTTTTATTGTCAATTTTCATTTTCAGCAATAGGTACTATTATTATAGGACCCTTTTTTTGTTAAAAAAAAATAAAAATCGAAAGCTTTATTAATTGCAAAATGATTTTCAAAACAATGAACAAGTTGTCTGTAGTAAACACTACATACATGGATTAGGAAAACTAAACTAATCAAAATTCAGAATATACAGCTCAGGACATTGTAATTGTCCTTAAATCAGCCAAAAAGAAACAGCTAAGACTAAACATCCTTAGTCAATTCACTGTGCCTACCTGTTGTGAAGAATAAAGAAAAAAAGGCATGTCTTGAAATTTAGATGACACAGAAGCCCACAGCTTGGCTTTATCCCATAAGTGATAGGTCNTCTGATGAGACTTTCAAAATGCCTTTTATTGTCAATTTTCATTTTCAGCAATAGGTACTATTATTATAGGACCCTTTTTTTGTTAAAAAAAAATAAAAATCGAAAGCTTTATTAATTGCAAAATGATTTTCAAAACAATGAACAAGCTGTCTGTAGTAAACAGTACATGCATGGATTAGGAAAACTAAACTAATCAAAATTCAGAATATACAGCTCAGGACATTGTAATTGTCCTTAAATCAGCCAAAAAGAAACAGCTAAGACTAAACATCCTTAGTCAATTCACTGTGCCTACCTGTTGTGAAGAATAAAGAAAAAAGGGCATGTCTTGAAATTTAGATGACACAGAAGCCCACAGCTTGGCTTTATCCCATAAGTGATAGGTCTCATCCTTTTCTTTTTAGTTATAAAATTCTTTTCGCTTTTTTTTTTTTCTATCCATATGACCCGAAAATCGGCCATAAATTGTGTGGCCCCATAATCTTTCTTTTTAGTTATTTTATTCATATCTTCATATTGATTTTCATCATAACACCACTCTCCCCCCTTCCCCCCGGTACTGGTATTTCAAGCACTATGAGATGTTATATTTTCAGACCATTCTCTCTTTTGCGGTTTCCTTATCAGAAGTCTGGACTATTGCTGTTGATACTTAAAGACTTGAATATGTTCTTTGAAGCTATCACTTTATCAATATTGAGGGGGATAAAGATATCGCCGATGATAGTATACTTAATGTTTTTCTCTTCTTCTTTTGCCCCTTACATTGTTTGTTTGCTTGGCAGTATGATGTTTTCTTTCTTTCTTGGTATTACTTTCCTTTATACATAATTTCCTTCAAGTAAATATCTATATATTGGAAAACTTAATGTAAGAAGCGTAATGTCTAGTATATGCATTCTTTGATCTATGTTTCTTGTCCTTGTTGCTTATAACATGTTCTTGCCGTTTGGTTGGATGCAGTGATGTTGATGCTGTTGGTGAACCATTGGTGTTTAATCAATCAGTGTGTCTTAATTTGCAAGTAATGTCTCAATTTGTCTTACTAGTATTTCCTTTTGCTACCTGTTGCAGTGGTAACATCTCTTGACTTCTATTTTTTTCCTTCCTTTTTCTGTCTCTTTATAGATGTTAAATTCCGCCAAGCCTTCAGAACTCAGTCCTATAGGGAATTGGCTTCAATGTAGACAGGTTATAGACGGTATAGGGGAAAGTGTCGACTCAACTGTCTGTGGAAAGTGGCGCAGGTAAACCAAACAGTTACATAGGTGATTATGCTTTTGCTTTTGGGTTTATATTGCTTGATGGACATATTTGAATGGAAATTTTTTGAAGGGTTTTGATTTGGTTATGAGGTTATCTGGATAATAGTTGAATAATCTTATAATTGATTAAATCTGATTTATTCTTGGTTTAAATTTTATGGATAAGAAGCTGTTATCAATACTATTTGAAATGGATACTTTTATGTGTTTTAAAGGACCTGCTCTGGAGAACATGATATTCATATTGGTATGAGATATTTATTTATATAACCTAGAAGTGGGTCCCAGAAGAGAGGGGAGTTATATACTTTCTGGTTCGCTACAAGTTCCCTGCTTGACCCCCATAACCTACTGTTCTTGCACTAATATGGCAATGTGAATGGAATTGTCTTCTGCATACATACTATACTTGTCACAGGTGTACCATTATACTTTTCTTCTATACGGATAATACAAAACACTTGCATGATTAAGCTATATTTGGTTCAAACTGGATTCAGATGTATATGCAAAGTACACGCTTTTGTGCATCTGACGGCCAACCTAAAGTCAAAAGCAATGCAACTTCCATTTTATTAGTAAGAGTGTAAATTACTATTTTTCCAGAGATCCTGAATTTTTAAAGATATTAATGTTTGACTGCCCAGTGGTAGGAATAATAATTACAATTAACCAGTAGATGAACATTCTGGGTTTCCTATGGTAAGAAACTGAGCTCGTTTTCCTTTCCAGGAGTCTTTGATCAGTTGCGACCTTGGACCCTTTCATAAATGTTCATCTACTGGTTTAATTAATGATAAACCATTAAAGAAACTCATCTTCAGGTTTTTCTTCCAGCATATTTTCTTTTATTTATTTGTGGAGCGGTATGCAATGAATATTATAAGCTTGCCAGAGTATTGTTCTTTTTCTTTTACTTTTGTTGTCGCTCTTCACATTGGTTCATTTATTTGCTGAAATTGATGTGTCAGATGTAAAATTTCCATTTATGCTTAAGTTGCTTAATATCTAGTACTTTTGTGATACCATAGGGCTCCACTTTTTGAAGTCCAAACAGATGACTGGGAGTGCTTTTGCTCTGTCCTTTGGAATCCAGCTCTTGCTGATTGTGCTGCACCTCAGGTATCTTTACAGTTTTGAATTGCCTTTGGCCTAACGACTTACATTAAGAGTAGTGCTAGCTGAATTTTATTGGATATCTAAGACCGAGAAAGTCTTGAATTCCTTAACATATGGAAATGAAAGTAAAGTTGTATGCATCGACACATAATCTTAATCATGTTATGTTGGGAGCTGTGCATAACACTGAATATATCTCAAGTGATTATTTACAACCTGACATGTCTTTTGACCTTGCAAGATTGAGAAATCATTTGTCAAAAGTTTTAACACATTTATCAGATTCAAACTAGAGGGGCTTGTTGAACCAGTTCATTGGTGATAAATACCTGGGAACCAGTCCATTTATTAACTGACAATTTTGGGTCAACATAATAGACCCATTTGTGTTTTATTGACCCGGTGCATCCTGCTGACTTGTATGGATTTTTAAATGGGCCTATAATCTGATTATAGAATTATTTTTGTCTGCTTTTATATTTTATTAAGGATTTCTCATCATTTTCCTGGAGAAAATTGAAATTTTTACTCTGAACAAAATACTACTTTCCTACATAAAGTTGCAAAATATTATAAAATCAGTTCTGAGCCTGAGAACTTTCATTAAATTACTGTTCCACAATTTTTCTTCTTGTGTGGTATTAGTGTGGAGTGGCTTCCTTTACTGTCATTCTGTCATTTCTTTTGGGGTGTCTGTTGTATCTTATTATTTTTTCTTAATTTATCATTTATATGTTTCATATTGTGTTTCTAATTAAATGACTTTGTTTTATGTTTTTCTCCACAGGAGCTAGAAACAGAAGAAGTCTTAAAGCAACTAAAATATGTTGAGATGGTATGTTTCACCTTTCTCATTTATGATATCTAGTAAATATTAGGTAAAAGGTGCCATAGGTGCTGTTGGGCCTTCTATTCATGTGTTTAATGTATGTGGGATGAATTTTTTTCATAAATATTTTTTGTTGGACGAATGTATCTACAAGTAGAATACTTGTAGTCATTGAGTTTGTTGATTCCTCTGCCTCTCCTTTAGCCATATTCACTGCTGTCCGTCTTACTCTCAGGCCTATATGTGAATGGATGTTAAGTATTGTAAGATATACCAGATAGCTTGAAACAAACTAATTTTTCAAACAATGACTAATGATGTTTGACTAGAGCAATTGAAAAGAAACAGTATCCTTGTTAATGAGAATGCCTATTAATAGAACAGCGTACAAAAGCACTTCCCATATCTTTTTGCTGAACTGAAGGGAAGCATTATAAATATTAGAAGTTAGAACTTGGATTACATATCATTTAACCTTCTGTGTTGCAAAGATTGCCTATACTCTTCATTTCCTCTTTACAGAATGATATTTTTTTTCTTCAAGGTTAGTCCTTCATTATCTTGAGACTGCTAGAAGAGGCATAAGAAAATAAGGAATATCGTATTTTGGACTTATTTACATAATTACAGTCTTTAAAAAACATGGAACTGGACATGAGATGTTGAACCTGACACTCCTAAAAATCTAGACCCAATGATGTAGTTTATTATATGTAAAGAAGCATGCAAGTGAATTCCTTTACAATTGTATTATGAAGTGTCATGGTCACAGTTTAGCACCTGGTTAGGGTTTGATATGTCAAATGGTATTTAAGACTTTTTTGTGTTACTCTTGGCCACTATTCTAGATAGGATCTTTATGTTTTTTAATTGGAGACATGATGATGACATGGAAAATTGAACGTTGATTTCTTTGTTATTTCCTCCATTTTATATTCCTCTATATACCCATATTTCTTTCTGTTTGATGCTCTCCTCTTTCTTCTCCCCTTATTCTGTCCTGTTTATTCTTCATTGGTCACACTTGTAAAAGTGTCCTAAGCAACCAATTCAATCTATTAGAGAAATATCCAATTGGAAACTGCCTTAGTCCATTGCCTGTTTAGAGTTTTCCCATTCCTCTTTTTTCATTGATTGGAACATTTAAGAAGGATTACTATACCAGAATGTCGATAGTGTACTAGGATAAAGAACAAGTTTAATTTAATGTCGTTATTTGCAATAGAGCTAATATTAGATGGTTTGTCTTTTCTTTGCAATGAAAAAATCTTACTAATTTATTTATGTCAGTCTAATGGTGCTTTTTAATTGGGGATGTTGACGGCTTTTTGTACATCTGTTAGTTTCTTGTTATCTTTGGCCATTAACATTTCATACTGTCTGTAGCTGAGGCCTCGGCTAGCTGCCAAACGACGAAAACTGGAGCGCACAAAGAGTGGTGGCTCTCAAGACCTTACAGAGAAAGTAACAAATGGAGACACTCAAAATGCTCGATAATTTTGCCGGAAGTATCCACACAACTTGCCTTGGATGTATTTTGTTCATTATCTGTCGGAAAAATCCAAGAGTATGAATTTCAGAGTTGTATTCTAATTGTTATTAGATGGAATGGAAGGTATTAAAGTATCACATATAAATGAGGCTGCTGGCTTTTCTGCGGTAGGCGTCATGTCCTCACCTTTTCTTCCATTTTCTTTTCTACTTAATAGTATTATTCAAGCTCCTGGTAACAGTTGTGTAAAAGAAAAAGAAAAAGTTAATAGCTGTTAGGATTTTCATCTGTTGAAGATATACAAGTAATCCAACTGTTTGCCAAGTAAAAGTGATGGCAAATTAAATTTGGAAAGTGGGAAAATGGAAAATTGATTAATTCAAATCTAAGCAGGATGACTATTGGCAACTAACTATTACTCTCTATTATAGAGCAAGTAGAGATGCAGGCTTCTAATCACGCCGGTCATGGCACCTGAGCAGCCTTGGCTTGAAGAACTTGCTGTTGGAACTCTTTCGGCCGTCAAAAGGCTTTGGCGCCAGAACCAGAACTTTGATCTTGGAGGCAAACGTTTCAGAGGCTGTTGGTATGTCAACTCCCGAAATTGGCCGTAAAACGTTTCTGTCAAGGTAGTAACATCTTTCATTATTGTTGTTACCTTCTTGTTGACATCAACCTTGAACTTTGCCATGGTTTGTTGCAAAACGGAGATCTTTGCCTTAAGATAGGAATATGAATTTGCCNACTATTGGCAACTAACTATTACTCTCTATTATAGAGCAAGTAGAGATGCAGGCTTCTAATCACGCCGGTCATGGCAGCTGAGCAGCCTTGGCTTGAAGAACTTGCTGTGGGAACTCTTTCGGCCGTCAAAAGGCTTTCGCTCCAGAACTTGGCCTTAAAACGTTTCTGTCAAGGTAGTAACATCTTTCATTATTGTTGTTACCTTCTTGTTGACATCAACCTTGAACTTTGCCATGGTTTGTTGCAAAACGGAGATCTTTGCCTTAAGATAGGAATATGAATTTGCCATGTGTAGTATCACTCATTTTCTCCCAAGTTTTAAATGTAAAAGTTTTATTTAAGAGAACAAATTTAGTCGTAAAATAATATAATTTTACAATCTAATTTAACCATGCTAGATTTAGTAGTCTAGTGTATTCTTTATATTTTTGTTATTGTTATTTTGGGAATTAAAATTATTAATGATTATATAAAATTATTAAATAAGACAATTGATTTTATAATAACAGTTTACATAGGCTTACAAGAAAATTGAGAAGCTTAAATAACACTGTTCAATTTTTTTTTCTTTTTGTGATGTGCTGCCAAAGATTAGATTTCAAATATAGTTACATACTTACATGTTAATTCTTCTTCTTCCCAATCCACCATTGTGATTCATGTAAATACTCTTCCTCTCATACTCCTAATTTTTAATTCTTCCCTTTAGTTTATTTTATTAAATCAAACATTGTTTCTTCTCCCCCCTTCTTACCTTTTTTGCTTTATCCTATTCCTCCCCTTCTTTCTTTTTGTTTTCATTCTCCCCTTCCTTTCTTCACTAACCGACGCAAAAGCCATCAAACTCATTCAACCCCACACCACCGTTGGCCACCAAATTGGCGAACCCAACAACTCCATTCTCACGTAACCACCCTGTGGACCCAACAACCCACACCACCACAAACCGGCTGCCACCCACAAACCTAACAATCAAAGACCACCACGAGCTGGTTGCCACCCGCAAAGCAACCAACTTCGCATCAACATTGACTTTAACCATCTTCTTTGAAGAGTCCATCCAATGGTTAGTGAGGAAGCAAAAAGGAAAGAAAGAGGGTTTTGTTAGGTTATGAGGCAGCCATGAGAGCATTTGAAGAAATTTGGAATTGGAGTTTGGTGGGGGAAAAAAGGAAAAGGTGGGGAGAAAAGAGGGAAGGAAAGAATGAGGGGGGACAGGAAAAAAGAAAAGAATTAAGAGTTTGGATGCCATCTAAGTTGAATGTAAAATCTCATCGACACAAGTTAATTTAAAATCTCACTTTTTGAAAGCAAATTACAAATAATTAACCTAAAATATTTTTAAAAAATATCTAAGATTATAAAATAAGATATTTTTATTCCGCTTTAATCCCAGTTGATAAGGAAAAAGAATACCATTTACGTACATCATAAAATGGGTTAATAACATAATAACCAAAATCCCCTCATAGTTATAATAATGACAGAAAACCTCTCACCATCAACTTTTTATGTTAAAATAAATGGCAAATGAGCAATTAAGTAAATATTCATTAACCCATCATATTATAAATTCTAAACAGTACACTAACGATTCTCTAGCAACAGGGAGGTATATATAACTTCTGAAATCTCAAGAGAAATTTTGTCATTTTATTAAACCTGCAGGGGGTTCCAGTTAAAAACAGTATTAAAATCTTGGAAGAAAATGCTGATTTTGGAAAATCAGTGAAACGACAGGGATAACAGTTGAGGGACTCTCTAGGCCTAACAGAAGCTCTACTGCTATCAAGCTATAGAAAAACAAGTGCAGATTGAACCAACTAAAATAAGAAAATAACAAAGAGAACCAAAAGAAAAGAAGCTACATTGAAATTACCACCTGCAAAACTGTAGAAAAAATGCTTGCAATTAATAGATAACTTCAACAATGTCAAATTTTTTCCCTTAGTTCTGCTAGTGGAACATAAATCACAGACTCATCATGTACATGGCTTTTACTTGACTTCCTACCATTTCTATTTTGAACTCTGGATAATGTCTCTTTCAAAAATTCTAGTCTATCCTTAACCTTACAAAGTCTTTCCATCTCTGCTTCAGCTGCTTGTAATCCGATGCCAGTCATAAAATTGACCTTTCTCTTGTCCTTCTTTGTTTTTGCTTTAAGAAGCTTCTTTAAGCTCACATCGTCGCTCAACTCAACACTTACCTGATATGAACCGAATTTATTAAAAAACAGAAGCAATAAAGTTTCATAACTGCACTTCAATGGTTCTGTATGACTAGAAACCCTAAACCAATACAAGCCCAAGTTACATATAAAACCAACCAAATCAGCATCATTACTAGAATCTTGATTAATCACGAACAACCCGTTCTTATGTTTTAAATCTTCTATATGGAAAATGTTGCACAGTATCAATTGCATCCCCATTTCAGTTGCATGGCATTTAAAGAATTTTTTTTTTTTCATCTTAAGATCAGGTGTTGCGTGTAGAAAATGATATCTGACAGCTTCACAATATAATATCAAATATTGAGGTGGGGAAAAAAAGATCTGCACCATGGGTGAATGTCTAATTTGAGAGACATACTTCACCCAGTACCAGGAGTATCTTTTGAACTTTTACTTTGGACACCACCGAATAATTTCAATCAGTTTATGATGCAAACTTTTACTCAGTCTACTTAGTCAACCCTAACTCGAGTGATCCTACATAATACCAACCACCTAAAGCTACTTCCAATTTGCAGAAAGAGGTAAAATGAAAGAAAGAAAGAGCAGGAAATAGAGAAAGAACCAGGAATTTAGCTGAAGCATACCTGATTGCTATTTGCAGGTGATTCTAAAGGTCTTTTGTGTTGATTTTTCTTCAAGCCACTGCTCAGCGATTTTGAATCCTTTCTCTGTTTGATCCTCTTCACATTCTTTGGTGTGCATAACACATTTTCTTTTAAGGCATCTTTCAATCTCGGTTCATTGGAGATTTTAGGAGCATTATGAAGTTGGTTTCCTTCCTCTACCTATTGTGCAAGAGAACTCATAGTTAAAAAAAGAAAAAAAGAAAAACTCCCAAACCTAAAATTCTACCCATAGGAAAAATCCTAAAGCTACCAGTTCAATCTCCCTATGATTTATCGAATCAAAAATAAAAAAGTCCTGCCTACGGTGCAAATTACACAAAAAAGAACAAAAGTAATTAATAAATATCAAGAAGAAAGTGGAAAGTATCATCTTTTTCATCAGTTCTGAAGATTATTTGCAAAATAAAGTGCATCATATTTCATTCTTTTTGCAAAAGGGATGGTATTATATGAAAAGTTAATTACTATGAATAAGGAGATGAGCTGATGCTACAAAGAACAAGAGAAACATTAGCAATTGAAGAACATGAAATATCATCTCACCTTTCTTGTTTTTAGCGCAATGTATCTTGCATTTTTAAACCATTTGTTAACCTGCAAATTGCAACTAAGATTAAAAATAAATAAATATTGCAACAAATAAAGGGCTATCAGAATACAAGACAGTTTCTGGTGAGCTAATCCAGAATATGATGCTATCCACCATTGATCGATTTTCCTTTGCAATTTTGCCACTTCCTACAACCACTTGCCATCTTAATTAATAATTCTCTCCAATCATGTGATGCTCACCCAATTCATGACAGTCCATACTAAATATAATAGTTTAATTGCACTGAATATAATTGGATCAGGCAACTAAGCTCCATGTACTCCAAGATGTTGGATGAAAATGGTTTTGTTAGAACAGAAAAACTACCAATATTGAACTCATGCAACCAATGCAACACATGCATGAAAAAGAAACAGTATTGCCTGCTTTTAAGGAATACAAAATAAGTCAATTTACCATGTCAAATATTCAAAAAAACTTGCTTAAGAAGTATTTGATCTAAGAACGACTGTTACAGAACTACTTTTTAGTACTTTCTTCCTGATAGCTTAGGTTATTACCTTCTCACGTTCAAGACCCAACTCTTTGGAAAGGTTGTCCTTGACAGTTCTAGAGGGAAGTTCATTCTCAGCAAACACTTGGCGAAGCTTCTGGAGAAGCAGACAAGGGAAAGGATGATTAAGCATAGTGCTGAAAACATTACCTCAAAATAATTAGGACTGAAAAGTGCTCAGTTTGTGTGAAGAATCAAATTGTATATTACCTCAACTGCATTGGGAGGAATTCTGAAGAATGGCCTCCTAATTTTTGCATCAGAAGAAAGTTTCTCCTTCACTTCTATGGCTTTAACATTTGGGCATTTTTCCTCACTTCCATACAAAGTCATAAGGGTGTTCACCGCATCTGACTCCTTTTCTCTCCGTCTTCTCTTTGCAGGACCCCAATCTTCATCTTCACTAACCTGCTCATATGCCAAAGCATCCTTTCCAAACATTTCCTATCACAAAGAAACAAGAAAAACTCATATTTTACTATACAGCAAAATATTAGGCATCCATTGAAATAAAAGAGCTGCACGAGAAATAGTAAGCCAACTACTAATTTCAAATGAGATACTATTTAAGATTTAGATTAATATGGCATACTTATTTGCTACATCCTTGTCTTTTGGCATTAGTTCTATAGCCATTTAATCATGAATGACAAAAGGGTGTGTTTCCAAGCATCTTTAAGGAAAAATGACTCTAAATTAGAGCTCTCTGATCCTAATAACATCAAGAAACTTAAGTTTTAAAATCAAAAGAGAGGAGGTGCCAACAGAATCTTCGTTCTGTTTCTTTTTCCTTTCATATTCAATTGTACTATTATTGGTTTCCCTCGTCATTTCTTATTTTATTTTCCTTTTCTCCCCATATAACTTTTATTTGAATTCATTTTCGAGATATAAAAAAATAACAATATTTGAACTCCTAGCATAGATGTAACACAATTCCACTTGTTTCTAGATAACTGTCTTTAATGAGCACATGAAATTACTTAATGCTCCGGGGAAGAAAATAAAATGATAAAAAAAAGAAAAAAAAGAAGTGATTTAATCCTTAATTTTAAATAAGTATCATATACTCACAGCATATAACTTCTTATAATCGACTGTCCTTCGCTGTCGACGGCCACAGATAATTTCCCCATCACTGTTTTCATCAGAACCTATACTACTATCACCTGAATACTGCTTATTGTCATTGCCCTCCATCTCCCACCTCATAGATTTGGAAAAAGCTTCACCATCTGAAGACCAGCTCAAGCTGGTAGAACTGCTTGCATCATCATCAGTTTCCGCCCCACTGATGCTGCAGCTGTTCTCCCTCCTTTCTGGATTATAATCATGATCTTCAGAATCATCTGAAGGCCAATCTTCTTCTTGATTTAACAATGCACTCCCACCATCAGGAAAAGCAGCTTCTTCTTTGAAAATATCCTATAAAATGGAATGAATTCATTATTACAGCAGGAAATTCAAATTATATAACTCAAGAAAATTCTAATAACCTGCCAATTGCTGTTAACAGAGAAGCAGGTCCCGATATGAGCATTCATAGCCTCTATTATTTCCATCTTACATTCACAAAATCTGCAAAACCAGCCCTGATCTCCTGGAGGTACTGTAGATTATCAATTAAAAAATGAAGACACCCCTTATTCATAATTTGGTACACCAATTCAAATAAAAATGATTGAACTTACTGCACTCAGTGTCCAATGGAGGATCAAGGCATTTTTGGTGGAAAGCACAATTACATGTTCCATCACAGAGTACAATGTCATTATCTGGGAAGGCTTCTCGCAACTTGCACTTGGCGCAGATAATCTAGATGTAGAAAAGCAACTAAGCTAAGCACAAATATGAAATTCAAAGTATAAAAATGATCAATCAATTCAGGGTCTTCCTAGCTGCATTACAAGTTGTCAGCTTATATTAGTGGTTTGATATTTAAGGATACTCTGAAAAACTAGAATTTGACCCAGAATAATAGAAGTTCTATAATGCTTTGAAACAAAAATAGATAAAGAGTTACTATTTGCCTCGGAAAAATTGGTTTCTTTATTATATCATCCCCTAATTCCAATCAATTTTGAGGCCCAGTATTTACTCCAAAGTGAAATTAGAGAACAAACAAATTCACACTATCCAGCAACCAGAAACTTGGGAGTTCTAAAAGGTTGCAATGGCCTGTCTCTAAGCAATCTAATGTTAAGATATTTATATCCCTTTATATTAGAATAACAAATGCAGTTAAGTGATCTTACATGTTCATGGTGAACAGATCCATCTGGAGCAATGACAGAACCTTCAATACATCCGACTGAACTAAGAGAATCAAGCTGCCGAATAGCTTCACGAATTCCAAGTTTACACTTGAGTATCTGCTTCTTTGCACGCAGCAGTTCCTTCTCTGGCTTTATCTTTTCTCGGCTGTGGATGAAATTCAAATATGAAGAAGAATAAACTAAGCTTTTTCCCATCTGAATCATCTATTAAGCAAAAAACTACTACCAAGTTCAACTCACCTAAACCAGTCATCTTTAAAATAAATAATAATGAAAACAACAGCAATCTATAACTTCTTTCTTCACAAATGTATGGGAAAAACTAAGCATACCTCTGACCTTTCCAACCTTCACCAGAATAAGCATCAATGAGGTTCTGCTCCAGCTTCATTTTAATCAATAGGTACCTTGTTCTCCTCTGCAAGCGTGAGGCTTCATCTTGCTCCACCTTCTCCTTTTGCCTCTTCTTCTTCTTCGTTTGATTCTTTGTTTCAGCATCACCATTAATTACTTTTCCATGCCCCTTAGAATTAACAAGTGAGGAACTTTTACCTTGAAGCTTCAAAGATGCAAGCTTCTTGGAAGAGATTTTATCGAGCTTTTTATGCAGAAGTTTTCTACTAATGGATTTTTTGCTTCCAGAGTCATTCCCTGTTCCCTTGCTTGGAGACTCAGGAAATTTCTTTTTTATCAGGGTTGACTTGGTTGTCTTTACATGAGATTTAGATTTGTGCTTTTCAACCTTCGATATTTTGCTGCCTTTCTTTAGCTTCCATGATGCAATGAGTTCTGATTCTGTATCTCTCTTGGAAAAACAGGATTTGCTAGATTCTGTATCTCTCTTGGAAAAACAGGATTTGCTAGATTCTGCACGGATTGCAACTTTCTTCCCAGTTTGACGCATATTTTCCTCTTTCTCATCTCGCATACTGTTCATAAGGTGAAATAGCCCTGACGCTGAACTACACAAAACACAACAATCAAGCCAGGACCTCAACTCACCAAATAGACGTACAAACAAGTTCAATCTAAAAACAAATCTATATTTGAGGAAGATACACTAGTTGCATAAACCCAAACGCTGAAACTAAATTTAAGTACATTGTTCTACAAAAACTGTAAACACAGCATATCCCGAATTTGCACAAACCACAGAATGACGGAGCATAATCTGCACATATCATCATCAAAAGAAATTGATTCCGGAAAACAAATTTGAAAAAAAAAGTTTCAAATTAACATCAAGCAAAGTGAAAAAATTTCCGGAAACTACAGTAGTATGATCTACAAATCACGACTACTATCTTATAAAATCATTAGGATCAATATGCAGAACACAAATTTTATATATATAAATATAAATCATAAAGATAAAATTTTGAAACATACCCAGATGAGAAACAAGCCCAAAAAGCAAGAAAAGAAAACAAGACTATAAATTTACATGTAAAAAGAACATGAAAATATGCCCCCCCAAAAAGAAAAAAAAGAAGTAACAGAGAAATGCTGAGAACGCACCAGACGAAGTAAAGAAGGATTGAAGAAGAAGAAGATCTTGGGAGTCCAAGAGGTGTTAAAGCAGCTTGAATTAGAGGTGCATATATATAGAAATTGAAATTAAATAGAAAAGGATGAAGGTGTTTGATTAAATGCTCCAAAGAGAATTTGAAAAAATTGAAGGAAATGGGAATTGAAAATGAAGGAAGAGTGAATTGGGTATTTTTTCCGAAGCGCCACACAACGGTCAGCTCTCTTCTTCTTCTTGTAAAATTTGATTAACAGTCTTAGAGCTCCCCAATTTTGCACTCAAATTATGTGATTATTAATTTTACCTTATTTCCTTTGAGATTATTATAAGCTTTTTTTGTTATCATTAAGTTGAATATTGTTAATAATACATTAATCTAAATGTTTTACATAAATTTAGAAATTATTAAAAGTAGCACCAAAAGAAATCATTATTTTCAATTTTTGTTTTTAGAAATTATGTATGATTATTATTTATGTTTATGTTTAATTAATGTTTTAAGTAAAATAAATACCTAGGCTTATTGAAAACTCAAAACATTAAACTTAAGACCAAAAGAGAACTTTATAATTGCAATGAGACAAGGGTTACTCATCTTTTGAAAGTCAATAATTGTAAGAAACACTTTCCTTTGGTATAAGATTCTAATAAAGCTATACATAATTGAAAACCTAATTAACCAACCTTTGTTACATACAAAAACATCTTCCTATGCCTATTCTCATTCTAAAGCCACACCATCTTAGCCTTGTGATGCAACATTTGTTAAATAAGAATAATTTTACACATTTCAAATAGTATCACCATATATTTCTCTATGATGTTTCTTCCTACGTGTGCATTGTGGATAATGTGTTTGATTGCTTATATCTTAATTAATTGGACAAATTCATATATACTTAATTAGTAACTAAACATAGTATGTTTTAGATTGTTAATTAAATGTTGAATTGAATATCAAAATTGTTGAATGAATTTGATATGTGGAATTCTAAGTTCATAGTTAATGAACGATTGAACAAAAAAAAAAAAGTTTGTTTGATGTGTTTGGAGTATTGTCTGTTTAGGGTTATCTAATACCTGTTAGCTTTGAGGACCCTTTTACTAATATTGAAAATGTTGTCCTTGATCACTAGCAAATGAAAAACAAACACTATCAGATTTCTATTTTCTCCAATAACATCAGCTTGAGATTAAGGCTGTCTGAATTAAAGGTTTTAACTATGGTCAACAATCTTCAGCTTGTTCTTCTTCTATTCTACTTAGTCTAATTGATTTTCCTATGCCCTATTGTGTATCATACATCCACATATGATATTTGGAAATGTGTTTTCTTAACAACTTAATAATTGCAGGGGATGGTTTTTGATGACTAATGCAATCCTTTGACGCTGATTGAAACTTATCCCCTGGTCCATTGGCTTTCTCTTTCAAAATTGTTTTGTGGAAGAAAGTGCCACCAATTCTGAGGCCAACACTATTGCTTCCAATCCACTGCCAAATCAACAATTAACTCCACTTCCTTCATCAAAAGCCATTTTTTAACCCCTCATAACAACCACATAACTCCTGCCTCACTCCAAGCTGCACCACCAACCTCGCTTCACCCATCATGACTTTAACATTTGATTCCTTCCGCCATGATCATGCCACCTTTTTTTTCATGGTCTGCTCCCTTGCCTCTTCTTATAGCTTCTCTGAAGTTCAATCCCTTCTCGCATTTATCTCCACTAATCCTTGCCCCTGTTCTGATGATGGTAGTTTCTCTTGTCTTCAAATTGAATCTATATTTCTTGTTGCTATCAATGCGTTTTGTAAAGCTAAGAGATTGGATGATGGGGTTATGGCCTTTGAAACTATGAGGAAGTTGATTGATGGGATATCATATCCAGTGTGAGTACGTATAATGCTTTAATAAATGGTTTTGTAAAATATGGGGAGTATAATAGAGCTCTGGAGTTTTATGACAGGATGTTGAAGAATAAGGTTAAGCCTGATGTGGCTACATTTAATATTTTGATTAGCAGTTATGGTAAGAATAAGAAATTTACGTAACAAACCTAACAATCAAAGACCACCATATCTGAACCATAATGTCATCTTATGGAAAATGCCACGAAAAATAATGTGAAAGGTGTTTCAAGATAAACATTTCCTATATACATCTTAATTACCAAAATCATTTTTCTTGGAAACAACAGCCATGCATATGTATTCATACAACTTTCTAATCTAATATAAAGTAACAACATACATGTATTTTTCATAATATTCTGGAGAATATCGTGTTTTTTAACCATTTCTCACAGTTTTGTGTTTGATAGGATCATAGAGCCCCTTGCTTCAAGGAGATTATGACAAACCTAATATTGTTTATCTTAAGGACGGACTCAATTGGATGCAGAGGTGTGGATCAAAACACTTATAGCTTGTCAGTGTTTTCTTGTATCAGTTTCAGTTTTTCAGATTGATCCTTATATGAAATGAAATACGTTATTGCAGGCTCTATCAACTTTAAGTTCTATCTCACAAGGTGATCTTTGACGGGGTATTACGTACTTGCAAGTAAGACATAGTTTGCACATTATTTTTTGTGTCATTTATTTTGTGATCCTATGGTTCTTTTTGATGAAATGCACTTTTATTTGGTTTAAAAACACTTCTGCATTGATATTAGTTGTTGATGCGTGATTTTGACACTAACTAAACGCACATGGGAAATGCTGAGCTGACTCAGAAGACACACGTGTATGGGGATGTTGCAATCAGACTGCGTCTTTTTCGGAGAAGGTGATTTCCTCCTCTCTGCGAACCTTTGATGGTCGCTGTGTCGTGTTTATCACACAGATAGGGTCGTAACGGGTTGCGCGAGCATATCTTTCTTGGGCACCTCGCGAATTCCCTCCGAGGTGTGGACCCCCAAAGATTATCCCCACGCTGCAGATACCCTTGCGAGCACAACGTTTCTTACCCGGTTCCTCCTGATTTTTCTGCCGCACGAGAGCAGAGTCATCAATATACTCTTTGAAATGCCTTGCTTGATGAGATCTTCAATTGCCTGCTTGAGAGCTCAGCACTTATCGGTGTGATGCCCATTGTCCTGATGATAACTACAGTACTTTTTACCATTTTTGGCTGAAGGGGGATTTTTCATGGGCTCAGATTCTCCGAGCAGGCCGGCCTCTTTTGACTTGTCAAGAATGGCCGAGACAGATGCATTCAAAGGGGTATATTGACTCCTGTCGCGATCGCGATGAGGAACTGGAGCATAAGACTTCTTGGGTTCAAACCGTGGTTTCTTTCCTTTCTGCTGATCGTCATTAGTCCATTTGCAATCAGCCCTCCTATTTTCCCCCCGACCAGGTGTACTGCTTGAAGTGCCGGGGTTATGGCGGTGGAGCGCCGCCACGGAGTTCTCAATACGGAGGTATTTCTCCGTAAGGCTGTAGAAGCGGGTGAGGGAAACATCATCCTCTGATTGCAGCTCTTTCCACAAATCTATTTGTGGACGAACTCCCGTAATGATGAGAGTTCGAACAGACTCTTCGGGAGTGTGAGCTACTTTATGGAGCTCCCTGTGGAATCTGTCAATGTAAGATTTGAAGAATTCATCCCTCTCTTGCCTTATGTTGCTAAGGTAGCTCAAAGGCATTAAGAACTTCCTGTTCGCTTGGAAGTGTCTCAGAAATGTCGAGCTCATATGATTTCACGAGCTGATCGATCCCGTCGAGAGCAGCCTAAATCATCACTTGGCATGTGAAGTTAGAGTTACTGCCAAGCAACGACATTTTTCCAAGTCAAAAACTTGGTGAAGTTCCACCAGGTCGTTGAATTCGTATAAATGATCTTGCGGATCAGAATTCCAATTGAACGCTCGTATATCGGGCATTCTGAATCTTGATCAAAGTGGGGCAGCTAACACAACCAGAGAAAAGGGAGACGCCTCTGCGACCTGCCCTTGCTCATTTCGCTGAGCCTTTAACTAATCCAAGACTCGCTATAGTTCCTCAATTTGAGACAGCGGGGCCATCTGGGGATTGCTTTCCCAAACGTGGGTTCGACCCTCGTGGTTGCGGTTAAGGAAAGACCGTAGGTTGGATTCCTCCTCTCCTCGGCTGATAGTCCCGGCCGCTCTTAACACACGCTGGTTAGAGTTGTGTGATGGCACTGAATGGTCCAGGGAACCTTCCCGACCTCCGCGGTGGTGTGAACCGACCCGCGGACGTTGGGAACTTCCCGCGCGACGACGATCGAAGTCATCATTCTGATGATAATGGGAATCTTCCCGCCTTGCACTTTTATGGGAGTGCTTGCGTGACGTGGCACAGGACAGCTCAGGCCGTAACATGTCACCGAGTCTTTGCACCACGGGTATTCTACCGGGGGTGCGGTCGGTGTTCGCTAGTCCCTTGGAGTCTCTAGGCCCATTGTTCGCCACCTACTTTCCCTTTCTTTGACGCGTTGCAGTGCGCTCGGCACAGGCTATTGCCCTTTTCCGCTCGTTCATGTGACCTGTAGGCGTTTTTTGCGGTGGCACCGCCTCTTTTGATTCGCGTGGCACGACCCGATCTAAGCGGTTCAGCCTTTGGCTGACCGTTTGGAGAGTATTGTTAAACCTCTCCAGGTAGCTCATGATGGCTGGATCAAGCCGTGAGCTCGAAGGGATATCTCCCACGAGATTTTGCGGGATTAAGGGCACTTCGGGAGAAGTGTCCTCCTGTACCTAGGGGATCTCTTCCTCACCATGATTGGTTCTCTCAAATTCAAATCGGCGAGCCATTTGCTGTAATATGACCGATTAGTCAGAGATTCTCCTGATGAAGAATATGTACTAAATCAGGCCCTCCTTCTAGCGCCAAATTGTTGATGCGTGATTTTGACACAAACTAAACGCACGTGGGAAATGTTGAGCTGACTCAGAAGACACACGTGTATTGGCCATTGAACCCTGTTCTCTTCCCGAACTAAAGCTGCACTAACCGCGTATTGAGAGACAGACATATAGGAGGAGAATTTCCTACGGGAGAGGCTCGGACAGAAGAGGTGGTTTTTCGAGGTGTGGTATCTGGAAATAGAGTGATTGGCTTATGCCCTGCTGATTGCCTCCAGAACGTTGCGACCTTACTTCCACGCCCGCACAATCCATGTAATGACCAGTTACCCACTCAAGCAAGTCCTCTAGAAGCCGAAGGCATCAAGTAAATTACTCAAGTGGGCCATGGAACTAAGTCAGTTCAATC